GCACACACACACTAGCACATGTCGCCCACGACGCAAAGCCCCGGACGCAGGACAATGGGCTGAATGCTCTCCGGGCTGACTTTTTACTCGACTGCCAGTTGATGAGACGCTGACGTCGACGTTCTCACCAACACCAACACCAACTTCAACATCAACAGCAACAGCAACAACGACAAAACGAGTGCACAGCATCCCTGGGCCGAGGGTTAGTCCTGGCCGTATGACTCTCCAGTGGGTGGCCACTTTTATTTACATGTATTGCAGTTATTTTGTATGTAATTTATTTCTCAACAGCCTGACGACTGGACAGCAGCGCGCCAAGTGCGTGGAAGCCTCAGCAGCTAGAAGCCAGCAGTCGGCAGCCACCGCAGAGTACCGCCTTCCCGCCTCTCCCTTACCCTTACCCTTTACCTTCAACCTTGTTTGTTTTTTTCGGGCCCTCTCCATGGAAGCTTTATGCGTGCTTCCATCGCTCAGTTGTTTGAAGCTCACAGTTTGCAAAGTGCAATCTGCAGCACTCTTAACGTTGTTACCTCGGACAATATTCAGTTTTAATGGTTAGGCCGTGCAGTAAGTGGCCAAAGTCTGAAAAATAAAGCAACTCAAAGCTTATAGCGAAAAGTAAATTCCATAAATTTTCATTCAATTTCCTTCTGACAGATTTATTCCTTAAGATCTCATATACCAAGGCACAATCCATAATACAACATTTATCAGATATTTTTCAGTTGCATCAGCATTAACATTCACACACAATAAACCAATTCAAATTATTCCGTAAAATCTCTCATAGACTTTGATTCTACACATAAATGAGCAAAGTGAAAGTATTCAGATCTAAAACATTTAAAATGATTCACAATGCAATACAAAAGCAATAATGTGCTGCATTATGTGAATACATATAGATACAGAGCTTACATATGTTAGCAGCAGTCTGTTAATATTCGCTTAAGCAAGTCACTCAGACCCGCATACTAGACCCGATTGTCGGACGCCCCAGTTCTTTTAATTGTTTTGAATGTTATTTGACTAACATTTGGCAATGCCCCGATGAGCAGCACTTAACAAAGGCATTAACAGCACTGCAGTTTGATTGGGAATGGCCCATTGTCGCGCTCAGCTTAATCGATTGAAAACATTTGTGAATTTGAATAGAAAGTTTCGCCGACGCCTTTGCCGTCATTTTGGCACTTGGCAGAGCAATTTGTTTACATGGACATCGGGACGGGCGATTCGCGAATGTGGTAAACAAGAATTGATTAAAAAATCACGTAATCGCAATCGAAGTCGCAGTCGCAGTCGCAGTCACAGTCAGCGCTAAACGGCGCCAACATCAAGACTCAGCTGGAATGTTGCACGTACGCGTGCGGCTCTTATAATACAGTCAGCTCGTATGAATATAAATTTCAATCAATTCTAGTCGATTTCTGCGAATTCGCAGTTGATTCAGCAGTGGGGCAACGCCGAGAATTATAATTGCGCTCATCAGGCGGGGGTCCCAGGTTCAATTGCAGATCGCCTATTTCGCATCGAGCAGCGAATGACAAATTGAAAGCCGATGATGATGATGCTGATGATGAGAGTGGSGATGACTCAGAGTGGGTCAGCGGCAGTCGACTAACCTGACCCAGCATCTTATCAACAGCACCATAAATAAGCCAGACGGAATCCGCGTATTCGAATTCCTGGCAACAACAGCCAGCTCCAGCCGTAGAGCCAGAGCGGGCACCGTAATTCTTTGCTGCAGTCTTCATAAATTTCGTTTCTACATGCAGAAGATGTCAGTGCCCTGGCCGGGGCCCAGTCGGCTGGCCAGCCAAATATGGTTAATGACTTGTTTGTGTGCTGGATTAAATATAAATTATATTTTTTGCGAACGGGGAGGGCAGACAACAGGCAAATGCAAAACGAAAAATAAAAACAACAAGAACAAGCTTCGTACTGCAGCATGATACAAATTTTATTCCAATGAAATTGGTTTGCATGCCCAAACCGAAAAGGCAAAGCAATGCAAATTAAAACTGTGCAGCGACTGCAAAACATGTGAGCCACACACAGCCATGCACTGCTATCGATGATGGGCGGGCAGTTTGACAACGATTTGTATTGATGAATCGCAATATATGTCAAAGTATGCCACTTTAATTGATATCAAATAGAAAGTCCGATGCTCGCACTCGGGTATTCCAGGCGGATTTTGATTTATTGCTGAAAAATGGACGCTGCTCTAAAGCAAATGAACTAATCAAAAACATGAGTTCCCAAATTGCAGCTATTATCGGGCTGAGGTTCTGTGTGACATTTGGGTCAATTAATCAAGGGATTTGCGCCACATACAAAACGGCTTGGTCCTTAACATATAGCCTGCAATGAATCAAAAGGCTAAAGAGAAGAAAGGGAAAAGGAAGAGGAGAGAAGGCTGCACATAAAAAAATTAATTTACAATGAAAATATGTGGAAATTTATGTACGTAACCCTCAAAAAAAGGCGCCACTTGCAATAAAAAATTGACCAGGACATAAGTTCAATGGTGCGTATGAGTAATATGTGTGGAGGAGGCGACGGAGGGTGGGCGCTGGAGGGCGGAGGGTGGAGGGTGGAGGGTGGAGGGTGGAGGGTGGAGGGTGGAGGGTGGAGGGTGGAGGGTGGAGGGTGGAGAGTGGAAAGTGGAAAGTGGCAGCCGGATTGCTACTTACGAAATATGTTTCGAAATAAATAAAAATATGCGTGCGAGCAGAGCCGCAGTGAAAATGATGTGCTCTTAGCCCTGCGAGCAGCCGACGAAGACAGGAAACTGCATGAAATTGCGCAAGGAGGAGGCAGGGTGGGAGAGGGGCGTGGCGGGGCTGCTGTTGCTGCCAGGCGAACTTGAAAGCTGCCGACGATCAATAATTTCCACACAAAGTTATGCAAAGCTGTCAGCCAGGACGGACCAAAATCCCTGCACATGTTTATGAAAATGTAAGCGAACGAAACATCGAAAATCTGCAGCCGGAAATCGAATGTCTGTCAGTGAGAAATTTATATAAATAGCAGCGGAGGGTTAGTAGGTAGCCCGGCGCCATTTCAACTTCACTACTCCCACCTACCGCCCGCCTCCTGCGAGTCGAGTCGAGAACTGGCAGGGATACCACCCACCCACGCCRACATAATTTATGCAAATAAGTCGGCACACGCATGTCTGGCAACGGCACAAACACTCCCTCTAGCGGCTCGCCAATGAATCATATGGCTAAAGGAATTTGACAGCTCCTGCAGATCCTAGAGAGCTGCTTTAGTAATAGGCCCGTTGGGTACTCTCACGCTTGTCTACGTGGCGTATGGGTAATGCACCCAGGCACTCGGCACTCAGCACTCGGCACTCAGCACTCAGCACTCGGCTCTGATGATTCGAGAGTGGAAATATCCAAAGTTTTGTGCTTAAGTCTGTCAAAGTCAGTGGACGTCTGTATCGGGGCATGCACTTGACTTAAGCTCCAGCTATTGTCTGGCTGCAAACTTGGCTATCCCCCAAGAGTTCTCCTTGCTTTTCACCTGCCGCCGAGCGCGATAAGAAAATAACGATGACGAGATAAGAGCGCTACTTAACCTTAATTAACCCAGTGGCATTATAATTGCAGCTTAGAGGGGATATGAGGCTAGGGACCCTCTAATGAGGGCTTCAAGCAGCCAGACGCCGATCAATAGCATTTTGCATATAATCAGCTAGCCCATGTGCGAAGCAGCCATGCATGAGCTCTCTCTCTCTCTCTCTCTCTCTCTCTCTCTCTCTCTCTCTCTCTCTCTCTCTCTCTCTCTATCTCTCTCTCTCTCTGTCTGGGAGCCATGCTGTTAAGCCCACAACTGGGCTGTCATTACACTTGGCACGGACCCTTGGCCAGGTCTAGACAAAAAATCGCCCATTTACTCAATCGTGCACTCGAAAATGTCAATTTACATTTGCGGCTAGCACTGTCCACCCCAAGGGCCCGACGGGGAGCGACTGCCTGGGAGGACGGTAAATGAGCCATGGACTAACTGATGCTGCTTGGATGCGGCTGGGGAGCCGGCTTAAGCTGACTTTAACGCCTGAATGCATCTGTGAAAAACTCGGAGAACGATTCGTGATGCGCACATAGTGAAAGTTTTCGTTCCACAAACTTTTTATTAAAGTCAGCAAAAATCTATGGGACTTGGTTTGGTTTTAAATTTCCTTCTTCCCCTTCCCCTTCCCCTTCCACTCCCACTCCCACTCCCACCCCTTCCCTCTTTAGCTCTTTTTATTTCTCTCTGCATGTGTTTGACAATGTGGGCGTGGCACTTGGGCTGTCTGTTGCTCTGGTCAAGTTAATTTGTATGTGTGGCCATAAACTTTGCCAGCTTAGACTTGCAACACGCCCAACTGGGCATGGCTGAGCGCCCTGCTCGCCCTGCACGCCCTGCACGCCCCACTCAACCGACCGAGCAGTGGTTGCTCCTCGCTCTCGGACATCCTCTTCTGATATCTCAAATGTTCAGTTGCCAAGTCCGACTCGGCACTCAGAGCTCCCAACTGGTCTCCGATTCCAATGGCCACAATGTGTGAATTTTGTTGGCTTATTGCTTTTGTTTGCCGCATAATTGCTGACTTCTTTCACACACACTCTGTGTGTGTGTGTGCGTGTCTGCTAGACGCTTTGTCCTTGAGCATTGCGCATAACTCACATGACCGAAACGCTGGAAATTTATGCTTCGTTGCATAACTGACGCTCATGTCGAAGGATGCTGGAGCTAGGCTGGGTCTGAGGAACTGTTTGGTCAGTGGCTAAAACAGATAACAAGCGCAACAGCCTCCAGGCGGGATGGCAGACCACTGGACACTCTCCAGGGGAGCTCTCCTCTGGCCTGATGTCCGCTGGCGGGCTGATGTCTGGGCTCGGCAGAAAATCAATTCCTTTTCAGTCCACAACTCCTGCTCCATTCGCCGCATTACTTGAAGCGGTTTCCATATCCACACGAGGCGCCAACTGTTTCGCGCCTACCCCGGTTAGCCCGCTGCCAAGGCGACCCTCGCTTGCTGCATGACAACAAACAACAAACAACAAACTAATGGACGCATAGCAACTGGGCAGGCAGTTTGTGTTATTATTACCACGTTAATCGACATTGAAACTGACTGCGTCGCTTTGAGAGGAGCCTATCTTCCAGCAGATCTGCTAGCAATGCCCTGCCTATCGGCCTGTAATGTGCGGTTTGTGAGCGCCGAGGCGCAGCTCAAGCAGAAGTGCCAGGAGTTGAGGGCTCGCGCCCAGACCGCCGCGTACCGTCCGCCCATCGGGGGCTATAGACCGTTGACATCACGAGCTGCTCATCAGGGCTGCTTCCAGAGAGGAAACGACCAGTTTGCGGCCTTTGATCAAAAGCAGCTGAAGCGCAACGAGCGCGAGAGGAGGCGTAATCAGGGCGCCAAGGAGCTCGTGCTGCGACCTGCCGACTTGAATCGTCTGAAGGAAAAGTGCAAGTTCGTGAGCTTCCATGAGAAGCTGCAGGCGATTGAGCAGGCCGAGACGGAGCATCGGAAGCAATTGCAGCTGGTGAAGGAAACCAAGCAGCGCTTCAAGCAGATCGACGATGCTCGCAAGGCGGGGGCGGTTGCCGGCGAGAGTGAAAGAGACAGTAGCGTCGACGAGGCCTTGGAGGAGCAAAATACTGTGCTCAGTCGAGCCATTCTGGCCAAGCAGGAGCAGGAGGAGGAGGTGAAGCAARTCAACCGCATGATTCTCGACGCCAAGTGCAAGGCCGTGAGGGAGGCCCAGATCCAAGAGAAGCAGCTAATGGCCAAGGCCCTACGCGAAGACGACGAGCGCCTCGCCAAGATGGAAAACGAGCGGGCGAAGGAGGCCCTCAATGCTGAAGATGAGCGAGAGCGCCTCGAAATCGAAAAGCGCGCAAAGTACGCACAGGAAATTCGTCAACAGCTGAGCGAGCGCGAAAACAAACGCTTCCTGGAGGCCCAGCGGGTGGCGGATGAAGCCAAGCAGCTGCGCAAGGCGACCGAGCTGCTGCGGGAGGAGGAGGAGCGCCAGCGGAACTTTGTACAGCTGCGCAAGGCGCGCTTCCGCGAGGAACTACAGCGAATTCGCGACATGTCGAGTGTGTTCAAGACCATGCTTAGGGAGCAGGAGCGGCTGGCAGACCTGCGAGTGGCTGCCTACATGCGCGAGAAGCAGGAGAAGGAGCGCCAGCTCAAGGAGATGCAGAAGGCAATGAAGAAGCAGTTCGAAAGACGACAGCAACGCATCTACACAATCGCCACTGAGGCCCAGGAATCGCGCCAGACCAATGAGGAGCTTAAGTATCTCAGGGAACGCAATCGAGTGGAGCGCGAGTATCGCCAGCGGGAGAAGGAGATGGCAATGGCCAAGCGCGAGGCCGAACGCGACTTGCTTCAGAGTCGGGCCCAACAGGCGCAAGAAATGAAGCAGCGCCTCGCCCAGGAGATTGCCCACGCCGAGGAGGACTTCAACAAGCTGTTGACTCGCATGCGCGACGAGGAGGAGAAGCAGAAGAGGCTAGACCAGGAGCGCGAGCAGCGCACCCAAGCATATCGGAGGGATCTGAAGCAACAGATGACCGACAGGCAGGAGGAGCGACGTCGCCTGACGGAAATCGAGCACGAGCGCATGCAGAAATGGATGGAGCAGGAGCGCCAAAGGGATGCCAACATCAAGCAGGTGATCACCTCTAAAATTGCATCCATGCGCGACAACTGCCTGCCCGAGAAGTACCTGCAGGATGTGGAGAAGCAGCTCAAGAAGATCCAAAGCAGTCGCAATCGCATTCGTTGAGCTCCCAAATCGGCCGACTGCACAAAGCCAGCTCACGGGACGAGCTTCCAGTGCATAGCTTTTGGCGGCCATTTGCGGTGATCAATGGAAATCGACAAATCGAACCCCTCCTATAACTATGCAGTGCGAGTTTTCAAATGGAATGCAAGTTTAATTATATTAAGCTGACCTTTTTGTGAAAGACATGTATTTTTCATCCTCATCTTCATCCATTCATTACAAAATTGAAAATAAAGATCAAAGAGAATATTCAACGGAAAGCTGTATCACGACGGTTTTTATTTTATGTTCCAAACAATATTTTTTTACGACTCTAATAATATTTGACCATTAGAATTGTTTGCAAATTAGCTTACAAAATTGTTTTGGAATTTAAGCCTCTTGAATATGATGAGAGGTTTATTTTATTGCTCCATATCAATTTTATTGTAATGATACCAATTGACCTGGAATCAGCTCAACACTGATTGATAATAATAGGAGAACTAATATTAATAATCACATCATAA